AATAATATTAACAATTTAAAAATTAGATAAACTTTTGTTAAGTGCTATATAGGATAAAATAAATATTTTAAATGTATATGGAGTTAACTGGTATTTCCAGTGGGCATACCACATAAATTTCTCAAGTATCAGAGCAAGTTGACAACGTTTCGTGCTCATACCTTATTATTTATCTACTACTATTATTTTAATCAAAAGCTCATATCTTATACCCATACGGAAAGTAGGATTTCTAAGTTGATATAAACATCTGCATCATTCAAGTTGTACCATTATTTGTATTCTTAGCATAGGTTTTTTCCATGAAACATGATAAAATCATGAGAATATTATTATCAAGATATAATGTACATTCAGAACCAAATTTCTTTTTTTCTTTTGTTGCCATTGTTGGGTGAGCAAATCCATAACCTAGGAAGAAACATTTGCCAGAAGAATTTAATTAGAAGCCAGCATATCCAAAAAAGAATCAGCAATTCTGGTTTACAATGACACTGTTTTTTGTTTTCAGTTTCTAATTTGCAAGCCCGCGTGTTTGTCCATTGGGAGAAGAAAAAGGAAATATTGTCCGTCGAGGTCTGAAATAATTAAGAAAATTATGATGTGTTATTACTTTATTTGATAGGCAATTAGATGGAAGAAAAAGTAGTTTTGTTCTGATAACCAAATCTTATAAAAAATGACCTTTGCCCATTTCCAGCACAATTAATGAAAGTTAGGTGCATCAGCACACCAATCTTGATTATATTTGACAAGTTCTTGGAATATTAGTGCAGGGAAAAAAATTTATTTTCATTAAGTGTTCACACCATGTCAATGAATACATGACATGTGTTTTCATATACAATGTACAATCAGACCTCTCTATAACAACATCCTTATATAGCATCCTTATATAATAACACTTCACTATAAAAGTCAAGCTTTTTCGAAACCAAATTTCATGTTATGTTATAATACATTCAGATCTCTCTATAACAGCATCCCTATATAACAACACTTAACTATAAAAGCCAAGCTTTTTCGGAACCAAATTTCATATTATGTTATAATATATGTTCTATATAACAGCACTTCGTTATAAAATTCAAAAATATTCAGAACAAACGATGCTGTTATAGAGAGATTTGATTGTATATATTCTATATAACAACATTTTATTATACATCCAAAAATATTCGAAACAAATGATACTGTTATAGAAAGATTTGACTGTATCACTAAATCATAAGAGTAATTAATTAATACATATTGTTACCTTGATTTATCCCTTAATTATAATTTTGTGTAAACACAAGGATAATAATAACCTTGCGACACCCATTTAATGAGTGGTATCGTTATAATTATTTCTTTTCTTTATAGGGCGTGTTTGGTACGGATGAAAATATTTTTCGGATTTTTTTTTTCAATTTTCCCATGTTTGGTTGACTTAAATGTTTTGGAAAATATTTTCCTTATCNTTACACAGCAGCTTCCTTTCTTCTATAAATAGAAGAGATTTCAGTTCATTATGTACATGAATTTTAAGTTGAATAATATATCAGTTTCTCTCGTATACTTGTCTTTACTTTACAATCTTTATTTTATAGAAGTAATATATTAAGCTCCATTATTTTTTATTTTATCTTGCTCTTCTTCGTCCCCCAAATTTCAAGCCTCTTCCCCCACACTGAATATACTAATTCCACCATTAAAAGTTAAAACTAAATACATTATTAGAGTTGAGGAAGGAATTGGCAACGAGTAAAATGCAGGACAGAAAGAAAATTAGAGTTGTTAAGGACTAAAGACATAGTTCTTATGTTAACAGTGTGAAAGACTGAGTGAATTTTCTTTTGCGTTGTATACTCAGTTGAAATTTCAAGATTTGAATTGGAATTAGTTCTTATGTACAACATAAACAAAATCATGTGATTATAAGAGCTTAAACTCCATTAACATTAAGGAATAAACTTCGAAGCTTTGAATTTAAAAATAGGATTTTATAAAATTATTATATGTTTGGATTGAATGTTATTACAAATGATTGAAAATATTTTTTATAGTTTATATCTCAATTTTTATAGAATTTGGTGAAGATGAGAGTTGGTTTTGGTTAGAATTTTCTATTGAAGCTCGAAAAGAAGAAGAATAATGTCGTATAAATAAGTTGTAAGTATTTTACATGTAACTTGTATGTTACTTGTATGTTTAAATCATTGAACATATAGTAACATATATATGAAATATAAAATACATACAAATGGTATACAAAATACATACAACTAGGGGTCTGCATGAAAAACCAAAATTCGAACCAAATCGAAAATCGACACAAAAAATCGATAATATTTTGGTTTGATTTGGCTTTGATTTTGAATTTAGAAACCAATCAAATTTGGTTTAGTTTTGATTTTAAGCAAAAAATAATCAAAAAAATTGAACCAAACCGACTATAGATATACTTTGTTAAAACTTCCTTATTACACACACAAACATATATATAATTTTATATAATTTTTTTACAATTTTTTATGGATATTTAATTTTTTGCACTCGTAGTTGGTAGTCTAGTTCTTCACCATTGTAATAATTAATTTTTTTGCCTTTACATTTTAACTTGGTGGTAATTTTATTTCGTGAAGTCCAAAAATTTATTTCATGTTAAAAATAACTTGTCTTTAATATAGAGCTTAAATTACTCATCACTATTTAATTCAATTATATATCATCAATATATCTTGGTAAATGGTTGATTTTCTTAAAGAATAATTGGTTTAATAGTGTTATGTTAAAATATAGTCGGCGAAATATCTGCTTGACAAATGTGTCATATTTAAGAGAAAAAAACCGACAAAAAGTCGAAATAGCTGAAAAATCGACAAAAACTTACATAAATCGAACCTATAAAAAAAGAGTTAATTGATTTGGTTTGGAATGAGGCACATATTAGAACAAGATGGCAGACATACTCCCATAAATTGTTGAACGAGAAAGGGAACAAGAGCATCGTATTGGGTGAGTTGGAGCACTCCGAGAGTTAACGTGATTTTGAGTATTGTAGGCGTATTAAGGTAGAGAAGGTGGAGAGGGCGATGTGTAAGATGAGCGGGGGAAGAGAGACGGGACCAGATGAAATCCCAGTAAAATTTCGAAAAAATGCGGGCCGAGCTGGCTTGGAGTGACTTGCTGGGTTGTTTAATATTATTTTTAAGACAAAGAGGATGCCCGAAGAATGGAGATCGAGTATGATGCTTCCATTATACAAGATCAAAGGCGATATTCAAAATTGCAACAACTACATGGGTATAAAGCTATTGAGTCACACTATGAAGGTTTGGGAGAGGGTGGAGGAAGCTAGGGTGAGAAAGAACGTGTCTATTTCCGAAAACTAGTTCGGATTCATGCCGGGGCATTTGATGACGGAAGCTATCCATATTGTGAGGAGATTAGTGGAGTAGTATAGGAGAGAAAGAAGGACTTGTGATCTTCATTGTTCTTGAAAACGCGTATGATAAAGTCACGAAGGAGGTTTTGTGAAGGTGCTTGAAGGTTAGGGTCGTCCTGGTAGCGTACACTAGGATTATTAAGGATATGCATGATGGTGCTAAGAATCGGGTGAGAACTGTGGGCGGAGACTTGGAACACTTTCTAGTTGTGATGGAGTTGCACTAGGGATCTGCTCTTAGCCCGTTCTTATTTGCCCTGACATGGACGTGCTGACACGACACATCTAAGGGGAGGTGACATGGTGCATGTTATTTGCAGATGATATAGTGTTGATCAACAAGACACGAGGAGTGGTTAATGCAAGGTTGGAGGTTTAGAGACACACTATGGAGTCTAAATGTTTCACGTTGAGTAAGACCAAAACAAAGTACTTGGAGTGCAAATTCACTGACAAGACTCTTGAAGCTGGCGTGGATGTGAAGCTCGATACTCAAGTCATCCCCAAGAGAAGTATTTTCAAGTATCTCGGATCTATTATACATGGTGACGTGGAGATTGACGAGGATGACACACATCATATTGGAGCGGGATGGATGAAGTGCAGGCTTGCATCCAGTGTTCTATGTGGTAAGAATGTGCCGCAAAAACTTAAGGGTAAATTTTACAAAGTAGTGGTTCAACTAACCCTGTTGTATGGGGATGAGTGTTGGCCAGTCAAGAGCTCCCATGTGCAGAAGATGAAATAAAAAAAAAATAAGAATATTGAGATAGATGTGTGGGTATACCAGGAGAGATAAGATTATGAATGAAGTTATTCAGAACAAAGTGGGAGTGGCCTCCTTGGAGGACAAAATGTGAGAGTCGAGGTTGAGATGGTTCGGACATGTTAAGAGGGGAAGCATTGACTTATCTTGGTGCCCACGAATATGCGGCCGCAAAGATAATTATGTGGCCGCAGGTTTCCTCCTATTAAGTCATGACCCAAATCGATGAGCTACGACGGGCACCCAGTGTTTTACTTAACCGAGTATCTACGTAACGTATCTTTCTTATCATACTATCATGGATAAATGAGCCAGAAAGGCCGTCATAAGATAACTAGGATAAAACATAAGGGATAACTCGGCATAGGATGAACCAACATGGTATACAAATTTATATATGTGACATACGAGCCTATATGACCGAAATGATCATTTATGCACTCAAAACATAGGCTTACAAGGCCATACAATATTCACGACCCAAACCGATGGGCCGCGACGGGCACCCGATGCCTTACACAACCAAATACCAACATAACGTATCTTTCTTATCATACCTTCATGGGTAAATGAGCCAGAAGGGCCGTCATGATATAATTAGAATAAAATATACTATACTAAGTCTCCAACAGCTTCACTCATATCCAGTTATATTTGAGAAAAAGAAAGCCAGTTTTAATCCAACAGATAATAGAGATCTCTAATGTGACATTAGAATGTATTCACAGTCCGGATTCAAGTAAGAAAATTCCACTCCAGTTTAAGCTAAACAATACCACCAACAAGTTAAAGAAACTCTAAACGGATACGAACAACCAAACTTCAGTATCACTGAAACATTGATTAAAAGAATCACCAGCATAATTCATGTCTGCCGTATAAGCCATTATAAATACAATGGGAAAGATGACTTTCCAAACTTGGAAAAGGAAAAAAAAATTGAAGGAATTATCTGTATGTTAACCAACCAAGGAAAAAAAAAGAGCACGCCATTTTTGCAACTGCTGAATCATTTATCCCACTAAAGAAAAGAATCAGTACAGAAATGCATATCTTGTGTCAAGAACTTCCAATAAATCCTTTACTTCCACTGAAACCTCTACTGTCTTTTTTCGTCCTACCCATTTCCATTTCCATTTCCCTCGTCTGTTGGCCTTCGCTGCTTGATCCAGAAGGATATAAACCATACTCACTTGTTGGATTACTGTATTGGCCAGTGCTGCCATATTCCTGGCTTCCTAATGCCATCTTCCTGAATTTTTTCATGTCTTCGTTATACTGTGATGCGTCATAATCTGAACTTCCATGTGAACTGTATACTGTGCTGTGTCCAGGTCTAATCCCTTCATTAAGATCGGACAATGACACATCTCCTTCCAGAGCTCTGACAACCTGCTCATTTTCGCAACAATAAATCAAGTTTAGCAATCTGCATGTGGACTAAAACCGTGGACCAAATGTCTAGCATACACCCCCATGTATTAAGTTGAGCCCACATGGTAGTTTTAACTGTAAATATTTCTAGGTCTACATGAGGTTGAAACTTGAAACATCATCAAGATCTCCTTAATCGAATGTGTTCAATGCTACATGACACAAAGTTTCAGTGCTTATTAACTACTGGAAACAACTCTTTTGAAAAGGATTGTCACCTGACTCATGCGTGGTCGACGCCTTGCTGAATGACGCACACAAGCAGCAGCACAAGCAACCATCCGAGCTACCTCATTATGGTTATAATCATTTCCTAAACGTGGATCAATTAGGGAATCAAACTTCTCGTCTTCAAGAGCTCGTGTAAGCTGAGGCCTTGCCTGTAACAGACAAAGCAGGTAACTAACATCTGCTATCATGAACGAAGAACCACTGACGGTAAGGAAAAGGTAGAAAACAACGATAAGCAGAAATATTTTTCTTTTGCCACTACTACTCACCCAGTCAACTAAACTATCATCCATGTATGTTTGACTAGAGTCAACAGGACGACGTCCGGTGATCAACTCTAGAAGCATTATTCCATAGGAGAATACATCAGACTTCTCCGTAAGTTTTCCAGAAGAAGCATATTCAGGAGCCAAATACCTGGAATCAAACAATAACAGAAAGATAAAATTAGGGTCCACTGAAGCAACTGCAAATCTAATGGGAATAAACACATCAGCATCTCTAGCAATCATCATCATGGACATTTTCTAAGGACCAAATTGACTGGAATATCAAACAGGGATCAAGGAATGGAAGTAACGGAGCAATGCCAAGGATCAATTATCAACTCAGTTTTACCACAGGAAAACAGAGACAGGCAAACGTATCAAATTAGAAGTAATTGCACCATTACCCCAAAATTCGCATCACTCAAGTAGATACATGAATATCAGTTTTACACACAAGAAAACAGAGACGGAGAAATGTGCTAAAATGCAAAAGATTTAAAGCACCACCCAAAAGTTTTCATCACTCTAGTAGAGACATGAGCATCAGTTTTGCCACAAGAAAACAGAGACTAAGACTGTAATAAATTACAAAAGAATTAAAGTATTACCCAAAAGTTCCCATCACTCTAGTAGAGACATGAGCATCAGTTTTGCCACAAGAAAACAGAGACTAAGACTGTAATAAATTACAAAAGAATTAAAGTATTACCCAAAAGTTCCCATCACTCTAGTAGAGACATGAGTATTAACATCAGATGTTAACTTCGCAAGTCCAAAATCGGCAACCTGAGAAAAGACACAAGATTCATTTTTCACTTAGAAATGCAAAGAATACTCTTCATACAATTATCAGTTTCTCTAATAAAGGAACTCTCTTTTTTTTTTTACACCTGACACCTACTTTATTATACCTTCATATTTTTGTACTTCATAAGATTGGCAGTTCAGTATTTTCCTTGTAGCTTCAAATCTAGTTCGGAAAAGGGTTAAAAATACCCCTAAACTATTGGAAAAGGTTTAAAAATATCATTCATCCAACTATTGGGCTAAAAATATCCCTTCATCCACCTTTTTCGTTCACTTATGTCCTTTGACCGTTAGGTCAATGCTGAATTAAAAATAATTATTATTTAAATTACACGTGGCAACTTTTTATTGGCCAAAATTAAAACATTTAACCCATTAGAAAGACTCACCCATATCTACCAGTTTTTCATACTAACCTGCTTCAAACACTAACTCGGCCCGAACAAAAAGTTCAACTAAAAAAAAAAGAGGCCCCACTTCTATCAAACTCCATGGAAAAAAAGCTCCATCGAAGTTGCAGCGAATATATAAACGCAAATTTACGATGTGACTTTCTTTTTCTTGTTATGGCATCCAGTTCAATTTACATGATAGACACAAATTACATTATATTCAAGATGAGTTTAATTTAATCACTTTTACAAAACAGAAAGATCTCAAAGTGATTGTTTGGAAGATATCATAAACCGTTGGACTACCCCTAGTTTTCCGACCCACATTATTGTCAAGAAAACCATTGGCTCATTCATGCTAGGTTTTTCTTGTTTGTTTAATTTGTTTATGAACCTTTATTCGATGATAATGCTATACATGAGACTAATCAAGAAAATGAACACATGTAAATCCATGGGTTAGATGGAAGTGAGACGTCTTTTTTTTATTTGAACTTTTTATTCGGGTCAGGTTAGTGTTTGGGGCGGGTTAGTCCGAAAAACGGGTAGATATGGATGGGTCATCCTAATAGGTTAGGTGTTTTAATTTCGACTAATAAGGAGTTGTCACGTGGAATTTAAATAATTATTTTTTAAATTCAGCATTGACCGTTTCTAACGGTCAAAGGGTATAAGTGAACCAAAAAGGTGGATAGAAGGGTATTTTTAGCCCAATAGGTGGATGAAGGATATTTTTAGACTTTTTTCAATAGTTTAGGGGCATTTTTGACCCCTCTCCGAATCTAATTTTAATTAGAAAAAAAATATGTTAAGGTCCTATACTAACCAAAACATTTGACCCTCATAACTCAAAATATGAGGGACAATTTGAGATGGAGGCAGTAAGAACTAAAAGTTAGTCTTGCATGCATTACTGGCAGGATCTCATGTATGTAAAACAGATGAAAGCTAACCCTTGAAGTAAAATGGAGGAGGCAAACTGTGATTCTCAATAAATATTCAAAACTCTCTCTTTTTAGTTGAATAATGAATAAGACCTTTACCTTAGCCTCAAAGTTAAAGTCAACAAGTATATTTGCTGCCTTGATATCTCGATGAATGATTTTAGGTTGACCTATGTAAAACAGAGCAATTCATTTAACACAGAGAACTTTCTGACATAAAGTCCTTAAAGAATTTTCCAAATAAGTAAACATGATATCTGCAAGAACAGGATAAACAATACATACAGTCTTCATGCAAATATGCCAGTCCTTTAGCAGATCCTAGAGCAATCTTCAGTCGGATGGGCCAATCCAATGGAGGCCTTCCCTTTCCTGGAATATTTCAAAAGTGCGTAACAGTAGATTGGATCAAGAATATCAAGTTAAATGCATTATAATGGCAGTAAATTTTTTGATGGTGTAAGGTAGCAAATGAATGTACCATGTAAGTGGAATTCCAAGGTGTTATTTGGAACAAACTCGTAGACAAGCAGTCTCTGGGACCCAGTTATGCAGTATCCAACTAGAGAAACAAGATGTTTGTGATGTACTCGGCTAATGATCTCAACCTCTGCTTGGAATTCACGCTCACCCTGTCCACTTCCAGCTTTTAGCTGTTTGACTGCAACCTCTTTGCCATTAGGAAGGACCCCTCTATGCACATAGCCAAAACCACCTTGTCCGAGAAGGTTAGCATTGGAGAAGCCATCAGTTGCCCGCACCAATTCCTCATATGTGAATGTGCTCTTTGAGAATCCTAAAACCATTCCAGGAGAAGGTGGTGGAAGTGGATCAAACCCCGAATAATTGGACGAAGCTCCACTGCTGCTCATGTAAGGTGGAGGCGGAGGAGGTTGAAGTGAAGAAGCGGTAACTGGAGAGTGTGGAGGTCGTGAAGCCCCTGCAGGTGGCGGAGATGGTTTTGGTGGAATTGAAACAACATGATCGGCAGGTGATGGAGCATTATGTTGCCAATGGTGCACAGGGTCACCATAAGGGTCAGCTGGCAAATGACATAGACACAGTCATGAGTATAGAAAGATCAGATTATCAATTGACATTAACACATTCACCTTTGCATAATCGAATACTTAATATATTTTTAAGCAGTTTATTTATAGCTAAAAATTAGCTTAAGCTTTTAAAAAAGCATGTTTCACTAGCATGTTTCTCGTACTTTTTTAATCAAGCGGATTCAAACCTCATACCAAATGATGCCAATTCAAAAAAATAATAATACTGTAATAATCATAATCTATGCCACTCCCAAGATTGCCCCAATGAACCAAGCAACATTACACGATGAATCCCGATTTGAAAAGAATAGATCTTACCTTTATACCCCATAGGTGGTGGTTGTGCAGGAGGATAGTACTCAACTGGACCATGATTTCTCCTCTTCTTCCTCCTGCTGCAACATATGAACAACAAACTCAACACTGCCAGAATCAGAACGCCCCCAATGGCTATTCCCACCACCAGTCCGGTCGATACGCCCGAGGACCCTTCATCTGACGCCGGTGAGGAAGTCGACGAACCTCCTCCTCCTCTAGGACCCGCCGGAGACCTCCCTGACCCTGAAGGTGCCGGCGGTGAAGGCGAAGAACCAGACGGCGGAGAAGGTGGCGAAGGAGGAGACCCAGATGGTTCTGGGGTTGATTGTGTTGTTGGTGGAGGTGGGGTGGAGGAGGAAGGAGCAGAGGTGGAAGGTGGTGGAGGAGAGGCAGAGGCCGTGGGCGGAGGAGTGGTGGCCGGTGGCGTAGGGCTAGTAGGAGGAGGAGCTTGTGCAGGAAGAGCTGGTGGTGAGGCCACCGCAGTTGGCGGCGGAGAAGTAGAGTTAGTAGGAGGCGCCGGAGGCGATGTGGGAGCAGGGGAAGCTCCCGGCGTCGGAGAGGACATTTCCGGAGACTACTTTTTATATATAAAAAAATCCAAGAAAACTAACAAACCAATGCAATTACACAGTTACAGAATAATAAAAAGGGAAAATTTTCAAAACTGTTTGGGCAAAGTTTGGCTTTAGCTTTTGCTCTCTGTTTACTCCTTAAAGAAAGCGTAGCGTATAGTAGTCGTTAGGAACAGAAGACGAAGATGTTTCAATTATTTAGTATTTATTTAATAGCTATGCTCTACTGGAAATTAAACTAATACTACAATATATATTTACCTTATGAGAAATGTTTTTTAAATTAACAAAAAGCTGAGATGTTGAATTGCTTTTTCTGGTTTTCAAAGCTAACTGTGTTTGTATGTTTGTGCGATCACATGGAAGGTGGGGCCCTGTCGAGATGTAGGAGAATAATCTGAGCGAGACACGCCTGGCCCTCGCGTGACACGTCTGGCCCGCGCATTCCCTTGTCTTTTCGTTTTTCTGATTGTTTTCATTTTCATTTGTGGGATAATTGGCTCTTAGTTGGGATGTTCCTCTTCTTTATCGTTTTTCTTTTCCTTTTTGTTATTAAATTTATTTTCTCTGTTGGACAATAAGGTAAGTTCGGTGCTCTGTCGTCTGGTGCCGGTCCCCGTTGGTATTGCTGCTTTTTTTTTTCTTTTTTTTTTTCTTTTTTTGGGTTGGTATTGCTTTCTAATCCCACCGCATATTGTTATGACACTTATAGCCCGTTCGGCCAAGCTTCTAAAATTAACTTATTTTGAGAAGTGCTTTTCTTAAAAGTATTTTTTTTAAAAATGCTTTTGGTGAGAAGTAGTTTGTGTTTCACTAATTAATTTGAAATGGAAAATTTTCGTTCCTATACCATATAGGAAACTATATTACCAAATATGTTCATAGTTTGCATATTACCCGTCATGCTAATAGTATTTCTACAAAATATAGACAATTCATTAAATAAAGAATCATTGTAGCTGTAGGCTTCCTTATTTATGCGCGCTAATATTGGAGAATTAAATATTCTCACTCCCCCAAGTTTCTCTCTCCAAATCCCACCATCCCACTCACGTATCAAACCACACCCCACGATTTTCTCTTCATTCACCCACGATTTTCTCTTCTAAAACCAGCGAAAATCTGTAACTCCTCCATCATTGACAACCATTAAAAGGCTTTGAAACTTTGAATTCGAATTTGGTTTTCAAAAGACATTGTTTGTTTGGATTGGACGTTGTTGCAAAGAATTGAGAATTCTCTCTGCGTCTCTCTCTATCTCTCAATCCCAAATTTCAGTAATATAACAACAACAACAACAACAACGACCCAGTATAATCCCACAAGTGGGGTCTGCGGAGGGTAATATGTACGCAGACCTTACCCCTACCCCGAAGGGTAGAGAGGCTGTTTCCAGGAAACCCTCGGCTCAAAAAAGCAACAGGAGCCGATATATTAGTACCATAAAAATGCATAATAAAATAACAACAATATAAGAGATATGAAATACAGAATACGAAATACGAAATAGATGGCTGGTATAGTAAAACTAGCAGGTAAAGCCCTGCATCAATAGACGATCAATGTCATTCTTAGTCTAACTCCTAACTGGCTAGTCTCACTATATTGTGCTATAGAAATATTCATAAGTTTCTCCTAACCTACAACCTTAATGCTCGACCTCCATAATTCCCTGTCAAGGGCCATGTCCTC